CCCCAACTCCAAATTTCCTGCTGTCAAAACACCCCCAACTCTGTTTCCTCCTCTCCAAACACCCCCAACTCCAAGTTCTCTCCTCTCCAAACACCCCCAACACTGAGTTTTATGCTTTTAAAAGCCAACAAGCCCCCTAAAAACGGATTTTAAAGGCAGGTGGTGACTCCATCCAGCAGCCACTGGTGCCCTGAAGGAACAAAGTGCTGTTTCTCTTCAGGTTTGTTTTTGGAAGCAACATCACAACACCCACCACTCCTCCTGCTCCAGAAACACCCTTTTGTCTGTCTCCTCTAAAATAAAAGTAGCTATTTACAACAGCTGCCACTACACAAGCAAGAACAAGCCAAATCAATGCTCCTCACTCCTGAATTTTAATAATATCCTGCATTTTTTTCCCCTGCATGTTCCCCCAAACCAACCCTAACTCAAATATATTCGTTCCCAAAGGAAAAAAAAAGCTCTTGGAGGCAAAGGTTTTGTCTTCTCCTACCAGCCAACACATTAGACAGCTGGACATTAGTTGGCTGGAATTGATTAGAGTTTGTGATTTAATTTAAAAGCATTCGAAAGCAGATATTAATCTCAGAGCTCTGAAGGGGAGAGAGACACGCTGGGGAGAAAAATAGATTTAATTCCCCTGGGCAACTGTACTAAAAGGTACCCTGGAATTCCCAGCAGCTTTGGCACAAACCACGTCCAGAAGTGACAAAGAGGTGGGATAATGTGGCAGCACCGTCTCCCTCACCGAGTGTTTTTTACAGCAAGAAACCTTAATTCCACTGGAAAGAGCTTAATTCCTCCTTCTTGCCTCATTTGTGAGGTCTCAGTGTCACAGAGATGAACTCCCAGCACAGGGTGGGATATTTGGGGGTGGCCTGTGCAAGGCCAGGAGTTGGACTCCACGATCCCTGGGGATCCAGCTCAGGATATTCCAGGATTCTGTGCAGATCCACAGTTACAAAGAGGGATAAATCTGATTTATTTGAGCAGGTGGGACCTGCTCCAGCAGCGTTTCCCCACCAGCTCCTGTCCCCAGAGAGGTCCAACTCCATCAGAGAGGGGTGATCCAAGGGGAGAAAGGAGGGAGCAGTGGCTGCTTTGCCTTGGAATCACATTCCTCACACTCAGCTCCACAAAACCACCAGCTGAAAGTCTCCTCAGGGATGAGACTTGGTTTAAAGGTGAACCAGCTCACCCAGCTTCAAGTCAGAGCTGAGAGGAAAAAAAACATCCAAACATTCTTCTGGCCTTGGTTGGTTTGTTTATTTTGAATTCTCCAGGGCAGAGGAAGATTCCAGGCTCCCTGCCCCATTTAACAGGGTTCAAAGCTGGGAATTCCTTCCTTGCCTCAGCTAAATTAACTCAATCTCATTAAACTCTGCTGGTCAAGGGATTGTCCCCTGAGCAGTGAATCAAACATTATCCAGCTGACCATCTGGATATCTGCACTGAGCTGCTCCCAGTTAGACTGGGAAGAAGTTAGAAGTTATAAGGAGCCAAACCCTCAAATTTGCAGGGATTTGCTCTCTGTTTTAAATGTGCTGAGAGGGAAGTTGAGGTGTTACCTGCACTGCAATCCAGCTGGCGTTCACAGCGTGCTCTCCAAAGGGCCCAAACCCTGCAAGAGAACAAAAAAAACCCACCCTGGTGAAGTTCATTCTCCCAGCTTTGACTCCACTTCGAGTTGCAAGTGCTTTCCTAGTTTAGATATCCTGAAAAAAAAAAAAAAAAAACCAACCACTTTTACCACCCAATCCTTATTTCTTTACATCCAAGCACCATTTACACCTGCATTGAAATATTTCAACTGCAACCTTGTACAGGGAAGGAAACCGAGAATTTGCCCCACAAAAACCCATTTTTTTCCCCCCAACAGACATTTGGGAAGAAGATTTTTTTTTTTTCCCCTTCCTGCCCAGGTTAGAAAAACTTGTTATCAAAGAGAACTTTTTAACAAAGAGAACTTGTTATCAGCAGAGGACTCGATGTCAGGGAATTAAATCACGATTGGATTCTTCTGTTCCTGATTGCTTTGACCCACAGCAGATGCCTCCACCAGCCTTTCTCAAATGTTTCTTCTCTGCTCAAGTCTTCTCCAAGATCTTCATTAGCACTTAATTACTAAGGAAATTATTAAGGAAATAATCAGGACTGTTCGCAACCCACCTACCCCGAGCAGCAAAGGTTACCATGGCATTATCAAAAATACCTCCTCCCCACCTCTTAAATTCCTAATGGATAACTCTGGAGTTAACTGGTGATCCATAACAGCTTCTCCTGAGCAAGCACACAAAGGTTGAGCAATTTATCTGGGCGTAATGTCGATACACTTTAATTTACAATGTCAGCATTGCCCTCCGAGCTTAATGCAATTAGGAGGCATAAATTCTGCCCAGCTCCTGAAAGGATTCGAGAGGGACCACAAATATTAAGTGACACCTTAATGGAAATGCCGTGTTTGCCATCAGCAGCCAGGCTGGGGTGATGCTGCACAGGAGGAATTCACACAGTGTTGGCTCGTCCACGCCCGTGGATCAAACCCCAACGTTGGTATCTCCCCAAAACAAATATTCCCACAGAACCAAAGTGGTGGTGTGCTTTCCCGTTCAGCAAAAAACCCCAAGGCTGTAACACAATCTGTGACTGCAGCACGGGGGACAGGGCAAATTAATGCCTTTTCAGCTGTTTCTGCGAGTCCCTGCACAACTCCCTGAAAACAAACACCGCAGCCCGCTGGGTTTAATTCCTGAATAAAGTGCAGTAATCTTATAAAATAAATAAAATACGTATTTTAGCAGGCCAGCCACCCAAAGGCTGAAATTCTACAGGTGTTCAGGCACACGACGTGATCCCCTTGCCCCGAATCCAAAGGGAAAAAGTGGCACAAGCACAAGCGGGGGTATCACTGCTGTGACTCCTCCCCTGCCCGGATCCCTGGAGTTATCCCTTATCCTGGGATAAGGAACTTTGTGGGCACATCCACCCCAGGGCCCTCCAAGGCTCATTAGCAGTAAACCAGCTGCAGGGATCGTGAGGGGATTATCTCCTTAACGAGTTCTAAAAAAGAAATTGCGCGCAAATAACGCTCATCCTCGGCCGGCACAACCTCGGGAACCCATCGGGGAGCACGACACCATCCCCGCTTTTAAAGGGAATTTAACGTGACATCGATGACATTATCAAAGAGGGGCAGAGCTGACGAGGCAACCGCTGTGTTTTGTAACCAGACTTCCCTTGAAAACGGGGATGAAAAAAAAAAAAAGCCCGGAGAAGCCTTGAGAGCAGCAGAACATTCCCTGACACACGTTTTCTGTTTAGTCACCACCCGCCCCGCGCTGGGTTCGGGGCTGGGAAAGGCAGGATTCGCCACCTGCTCCTCCTCTCTCCGCGACTCTTCCCTGCAAAGACACTTTTTTGGCCTCCGATTTCAGCCGCCCCGGCCGAGCCCCCCGCCATTCAAACGGCCTCAACTTCGGCTGCTGGGGGGGGGGAGAACCTGAATAGTTTCAGGCGAGTTCCCCATTTGTCACAGAACGGCCTCACCCACAAATCACCCCGAGCGGCCTTTGTACCCCGGGGAAGAGCCTGACAGCGCCGGGGCCCCTCGTTCCCTGGCTTATTCTTCCCTCGGGGGCTTCTGCCGTGCCGAGGGGGGCGATTTGGGGAGCAGCTTCCACACCTCGGTGGCTGGGGACGGGGTGCTCAGCCAGCAAATCCCATCCCCTGCGCCCCTAAATTGTTTTTTTCCTGCTCCTTGGCAGGCTCGGCTCCCGTCTTTCCACAACCAGCAAAGCCGCTGGAGGGGGTTTAGGGATGGAAAAGGGGGATCCAGGTCCCCGCTGCCTGGGCACAAGTGTTAGGAAAGCTGCTGCAAAGCCCCTCAGCACGGGATCCCCCCAGGTCCTGACACCCCTCACACGCAGCAGTGCGGCCCCCAAAACCCCCCAGACCCTGCCCTCCACCCCCAGGGCTCCTGTTTATCACCCCACGCAGGGCAGAGCCCCCCCAAACAGCCCCCCAGGGACAGCTTCCCCCTCTCCTTCCCCACCTTAGTCACATCCCGATGGGACAGCAGCCCCCCAGCTCCTGGTCACACACTCCCCTCCCTCACCTCGGGGAAGGGGTCCCCCGCCTACCTCCCCCCCAGCCCCCTTTACATCAGGGAAGGGCTCCTCAAACCTACTCTCCCCGCCAAGCCCCACTAGTCTCAGGGAAGGGGTCCCCAAAACTACCCTCCCCTCAAACCCCCTCCTCACCTGCCTCCTCCACTTCCCCTCCAAGGGCTGGGTCCCTCACCTGCGCCCCTCACCTTAGGGAAGGGGTCCCCAAAACCACCCTCCACCCCAAGCCCCTCTCACCTCGGGGAAGGGGTCCCCATAACTACCCTCCACCCCAAGCCCCCCTCACCTTAGGGAAGGGGTCCCCAAAACCACCCTCCACCCCAAGCCCCCCTTCACCTCGGGGAAGGGGTCTCTGACCTGCTCCTCTGAGCTCCCCACTCCTCTCGGGCGGGGGTCCCCCACCTATTCTCCCCAAGCCCTTCTCACCTCGGGGAAGGGGTCCCCATAACTACCCTCCACCCCAAGCCCCTCTCACCTCGGGGAAGGGGTCCCTCACCTGCCCCCCTGAGTTCCCCCCTCGCCTCGGGCGGGGGTCCCCCACCTATCCCCCCAAGCCCTTCTCACGTCGGGGAAGGGGTCCCCAAAACTACCCTCCAACCTAAGCCCCTCTCCCCTCGGGGAAGGGGTCCCTCACCTGCCCCCCTGAGCTCCTTCTTCACCTCGGGGAAGGGGTCCCCCATCTCGTCTCCCCCCCCTCCTCCCGGAGCCGCCCCGTACCCGTCACCACCACCGCCCGCCGCGGCTTCTCCATCGCGGCTCCGTCCCGTCCGTCCCGTCCCGTCCCGTCCCGCCGCCGCCGCCCCGCACTGAGCGCGGCCCCGCCCCGCCGCGCCCGCCCCGCCCCGCAGCGCCCGGGCCCGCCGCTTCCGCCGCCGCGGCGGAAGTCCCGCAGCGGGACGGCCCCGGGAGCCCTTCCCCGCTCACCGTTCGCTCACCGTAGCCCGAGGCGGGGGACGGTTGGGTCACCGTAACCCCAGACGGGCCCGCGGGCGGGGGGGGGCGGTTGGTTGAACAAAACGCTCATCCCGAGCCCCACGGGGGTTCCCCGCGCGGCTGTGCGGGAGCGCGAACCGCGCGGTACCGGAGGGGCCCGGCCCGTCCCTCCCGCCCGGGCCCGGGCCCGTCCCGGGCGGCGCCGCCGCGAAGGCGCGGCCGGACCCGGGCGGCGCGGCCGGGGCCGAGTCCCCGCGCGCTGATTGGCCGCGGCGGGGCCGCGCCTCGCGCTGATTGGCCGCGGCGGGGCCGCGCCGCGCGCTGATTGGCCCCGCGCGGAGCCGGGGGCGGTTTGAGCGGCAGCGCCCGGCGCGGCGGCGGCTCCGCGGGACCCGCACGATGGTGAGCGCCGGCAGCGGCACCGGGGGGGCACAGCCGGGGGGAGTGCGGGGCTGGGGAGGGGGCTGGAGCTCCGGGGAGGGCCGGGGGCATCTCTCCCCTGCGCGATGCCCCGCTCGGTGCACCGGTGGGTCCCCCGGTGTCGCTCGGTGCCTGAGGCCTCTCTCCTCTGTTCCGCTCGCAGCTGCCTCTATCGCTGCTGAAGACGGCGCAGAACCACCCCATGGTGAGTACGTGAGTACCGGCCCCGGTCCCGCCGCCCCTCCCGGCCTCGGTGACACCGGGGCAGGTCCCGGTACCGGCGGTACACGTGACTCGTGTTCTCTCGCAGCTGGTGGAGCTGAAGAACGGGGAGACCTACAACGGGCACCTGGTGAGCTGCGACAACTGGATGAACATCAACCTGCGGGAGGTCATCTGCACGTCACGGGTAAGGCCGGGGCACCGGGCAGAGGTGACCCTGGCACCGGACAGGGATCATCACCCTCTGTGTGCACGGGGAACACCCAGCACCGGGCAGGGGTCACCCTGGCACCGGACAGGGATCATCACCCTCTGTGTGCACGGGGAACACCCAGCACCGGGCAGGGGTCACCCTGGCACCGGACAGGGATCATCACCCTCTGTGTGC